CTGGGCGCTGCATGGGGCAGTCCAAAGTAAGTAAGATGTGGTACCTGACTTAAGAGTGACTTTTTTCTTAAAGACAGATCCAATCAATTATTTGTACATATTTTTGAGGAAACTGGTGGAGAGCCTCTAGGTTTCAACGTGCCTCTTTCTCTAGTTCTTTACATTTGAAAAGAAAGATGCCTCTATATCTCTGTCTCTTATGCTATTTAAAGTTTGAATTGCTAAGTTGTCATTCAAAAACTGATATTCTCTGTTCAGCCCTCCAACCTGTGGGATCCTAACCAGATAAACATGGAAAATCAAAATGTAGTCCTTGAATTAAAAAAGCAGCCCAGTGAAATCAAATCCAGTAGAAGTCCATCTGGCTCTCCACTGCCTTGTGCCTGTCATTCCTCAGGTGTACAAATGCACCTGAGAGGAAATGTGAATGCTAATTGTGTGTATCCTGCCAGTCTTCTTGATTCCTCTGGGCCTTTGAAGAAAATAAAAGTTATACACACCTCTCAGGAATAGAATCCATCTGGCTTGAGAAAAATGACATTATCTCTCCGCAGACATAGAAGATTTTAAGCTACAATTGCTGAGAAACATGAACAGAATACCTCTACCCAGACCCCAGAGGAAAAGGGCATGTTTGGAAAGTAAACTTTTTGTCATCTTTTCTTGTTAAGTACTGCAATCGAGACTTGTGGTGTGGCGACCCCAGAATGATCTGTAGACCAAATCATTATTTGATCCTGTGAGGAAAAACCCATCACTTGTGTTTGCACTGTTTTGTAGACTCCCAGATCTGCAAAGAAACAGATGCGTGTTTATCAGAATCAGCTGGGCAGCTTCTTGCCCGCACAGGGTGCACACCTCAGATCTGCTGAGCCAGACCTGAAAGTGGAGGACTAATGGGCTTAAGGTAAAGACCGTCACTGGGTATAGGACCACAGAAACACAGGAAGGATGACCATTTCATTCTCATTCTCTATTACATTGTCTAATGCATGATAGTTTTCTCTGCCATCTACATCTATGGTTTCACTTAATCTTTTCAATAAATTTTTAAAGCAGGGTTGGCCTTGTATAGTGGTTAAGGCAGCTAGATCTCACACACCCAGTTGGGGTTAGTGTCCTGGCCCTAGTGGCTTGAAAAACATGCCAGATACATGTGCATGTATGCCCAAAAACTGAAGGAAGAAGGAATGGAGGAAAAGGGATTGGAGTGACCATGTCCTATTGAGGGGGGTAGTCTCATCCCCCAGTCCCTGAAAAAGCTTGCAATCTCTAGTAATTAAAAAAATTAATCATGTGAAGCAGAGAGAATAGCTGCTTAAGAATTTTATTAGGTTTTGTTTTCTGGTCTACTTATCCTCTGGTTTCACCCCTCTAGTTCATCCTCCATACTTCCTTGAGAGTAATCTATTTAATTTATACATTTTATCAAGTCTATTCTGGCTCAGTTATTTTTCTAAATGACTCCCCATTACCTTTAACATAAATATCACCTTCCTCATAGGACATAAAATGTCACTGATAATCTGGTTTCTGGGACTCTGCCTGGTCTAATTTCCTATCTTTCCCTTATCATATATGACACTTCAACAATATTGACTTGATATTCACCCTAGCATGTTTGTAATTTCTTTTACAAACTCACCCTCCAGGATCTCTCTCCCAGCCTTTATGCCTGATTAGGCCTTCTTCATTCTCTGCCTGATGAACATTTCCCTTTAAGTCATGGCTTGATTCCAGCAGAGACAGACTTAAAGGCTGTTTTTAAATTTGTATCTGTTTTCCATTTTGGTACTTGGCATATTTGAACGTTAGTTTTGTTTCCCTACTATAATGAAATTTCTTTAAGGGCAGGAACTGTGATGTTTAATCTTTATATCCCCAGCTGAGAACAGAGCGTGGATATAAATGGATAGATGAATAAAGCAATTCCTATTCACACAGAGTGGCCTTGGTGACCAGTTCTGTGGGCTTTACCCAACTCCTACTGAGATGACAAACCTCATACAGACACAGCCTGCCAGCACTAGCGTCTATTCCAGGGGGCTACCTTGTTGTTACTGAATATCAGATACAGTGGGACCTGCCTTCATCACATGTGGAACTTGTAAGTGTGGGAAGGCTAATATTCATGGGATAGGCATTAGACTGGTGAGGATGGGAGCAGATGACTAAAAGCCTGGGGCAAGAGTCTTAGGATGCTTCTTTTTCATTTTATTTAATTTTTTAAAATTTTACTTATTTTTTTTTAGAGGTTTTTGCTATAGGGTGCATGTGCTCACTGGAGAGACAGAAAGCAAGAAATCAACCCCTGGAGGAATGGCCACGGCATAATCTCTTCTCCTCCATTCTTCTCTTGGTATCTTGGGCACACATGGACACACACCTGGCATGAATTTTAAGCTGCTGGGTCCAGGACTTGAACCACAGTTGACTACATGGGAGTTCAGTGACAGAACCATTATGCCACCTGCTGGTCCAATCTTAACTTCTTATAAGCTTTTGGATGATGTCCCTGCCAGACTGAGGAGTTCCTTGTACTTGATGACAATCAGTGGTCAATTCAGTACTGCGCTATCATATTTATGCTTTCTCTTTCCTGCTCCCAACTCCTTTTCTCCTGCTTTTACATTCCTAATTAAAGAGTGAATACCCCACTCAAAGAGTAGAACACAATTTGTTGATCTGGGTTTTTCTTTTAAGGGACATTTATACACCAGTAAAAGGAAAAGAAAGAATTTAGTTGCTGCTTTGTAAATATGTGTTCAGAGAATGAACAAAATAGAGATGAGAAATTTCCAAAGGATGACTTGTATTTTAACATTATTAGAATTTTGCTCCCTGATTTTGAAAAATACTGAACAGTAATTGCAGAAATTGCAGAATATTGATCCACAATGCTCACTGAGCAGAAAAAGGGACAGATGAATTTTACTAATCTACTAAAGTAGTATTCAAGAATATCTAGCAGAGTAGCCTTTTTTATTTCATCTATACTTTCCTCTCCCATAGGGTGCACATGAGGGGGGCAGGCTACCGCTAAGTGGGGTCTGGGCATGCTGCAATTCCTTTCCCTCCAATTCTCCGTCCCATCAGAATATCCTGGGTTCACTTGCCCACCTGCTTACACACCTAGTGTAAAGCCAGTGGGACCAGGATTTGAACCAATAGGCCATATGGATCCAGCCTCCTCTGTACTGTGTCCAACTACAATGATACAGGGCTAGACTCTATATTTTTTAATATTTATGTATTTCTACAGTAAATGAGCATTAGAGACAGAGATACAGTATCTCTAACAGGTCTTGAGGTTAGAATCAACTCAAGCCTCTAGCTGGCCCTGAAACATAGGCAAGCGTGTGCCCAGTGTACTCAGAAGGTCTCTGGACTTGAACTGGGAACCTTCCCAAGTGGGATTGCCTCACAAACATTGAATTTTACCTCCATGCCACTATATGGCCCAGCCTTTTTTTATTTTTTGCTAAGAAATTCCCTATTTTGGAATATTTAGTTACAATCATTCTTTGATTTTAGTTTTTATCTGGACAATCAGCACCGGAATATTTTCAAACATCTACATACTCTCTTAAATACAGGCAAAACAGTTATAGTTTTAACATCATTTTTTTAGTTTGGGATCAGGTGTTTGGTGTTTAGTAGACACAGTTGAACCCAAATGTTGGTGAATTCATGGTCTGATGCCACTGAGTTGTTAACACAGAGCCAAACAATGGTGTCAATGTACCAGGCAATCAATAGTTATTGGCCAACGTGAACAGGTGTAATGCATTTTATAACGAGTCCAATGCTCATGGTTAAGGCTGTGCCTACAATGTAAAGTCAAGTCATAGGCATTACTTAATGAATATTGAGTAAAGGGCAAAACAAAATTACTTAGATTCCAAAGCTGAATGTTTGTCCCTAAGGGAAAAATGCTAGGAGATATGAAGTCTTCCATTGAATGATTGCCTACTGAGTCATTTTGATGTCATAGTTTACTCTTACTTAGTCTTAATTATCTCAACAATGGTGGTATCCTCACCTAATATTAAATTACTTAGAACAAGTATGCTTTAATTTTTGCTTACAGGTATTTTGAACCACAGATTATAAGGAACATAGGAGTCTCCTGAGGTTATTTTGAAAAAGAAGGTCTCGACTTATTAGTCTAGAGTGTGATTTCAGGTTCTGTTTTTTTAACAAACTCCTTGGTGATGTTTATGTCTCTTGTTCTTAGACCACATTCTGAGTGGCAAGGGTCTAGACAATGAGGAGATTTAAAAACAAAGAAACCAACAAAAACTGTAGGGCACTCAAAGGTCAAAAACCACAAGGATAAGATTGAGGAATTAGATTAACATCTTTGACTCTGATGAGTTCATGGTATTTTTGTCATGGCGATAAAACCCTTATCCATATTAAAGTATAGTTGAATTTTGAATAGCTGCCAACAGAGAAGCCAGGCCCCGAAGAATGCAAAGTGACATCTCAACTATAACCTTTAGTTCTCCCAAAAGGAAGACTCTCACTATCACTCACTTTAGTACCCCAGTGCTTGAATTTGCTCCCAGGGGCGAAGTATACTAAAGGACTGTGCAGCTCCTTTATCAAGGACAGAAAGCACTGCATGTAAAAAGGTGGCTTAGAGAAAAAGGAAAAAGTTAATAGAGGTTACCAATGTAGTTGATAAAGGCAAGATTGAAATGGTTATGTGATTTCCTTTATGCCAAAAGGATAGAGAAGCTCTGCTATTATTTTATTTCCTGCTGTGATCTGAAATAGAGAGGTTAGAAAAGACCTTAACTAAATTAGGATAGTTTTTGTTTTGTTTTGCTTCTGAGAATACTGAAAAAAAAAATATATATATAATCAACATGTTTTGATTTTATACTGTGAAATATGCCAAAGCAAAGACAATTAAGTTAAGTGACACAAGCTGAGATGTTTGTGACATCAGGTGACAGGCTGATGTGTGCCTGCTGCTCACACTGCCAGAAGGATGAAGCGCAGTGAGTGTAAGTTTCCCAGAGGACCCCTGTTTTACGAATGCTACTGTTCTAGAGATGGAGATATTCTCTCAGACAGACTGGTTCAAGCTCTGGTCTGTGCTTGAACTCCTGCGTCTTTCCATGTGTCTGATGATTTATTTGTTCATTCTCAGGAACGATTCACGCTGATCCATTCAAAAGCTGAGTTAAGATGCTTTGGACACGGTGGTGTTTCCCCACCCACCTCACACTCATTTCCTCAGGCGGCACCCATTGACACATTTCATGAGTAGCAACTGGCTAGTGTTCTTTTCATTTTGCTCTGGTATAAATTACTTCTTGCAGAAACTTTGTAATTTTCAGATACATAGATATGTTCTTCTAGTTTTGGATGGCAGGTTAGAATTCTCCCCATAATACTGATTATTTCTATAAAACTTTGGGAATGGATGAATCAAAACTGTGAGATTTGAGCTCTATTTGGTATAAAGAAGAACCGCTTTTTGAAAAATAGTTGCATCTGTTTTTGTGCCTAATTTCTTGTACTTTTTCATCAAGAAAATCACTTGAATAAAGACTTAAATGGAGAATAAAAGAAACTATTACACCATGCTAATTAACATGATTTACAATTTTTTCCTACAATTTTTGGCAAAAAATCTTATTATAAGGTAGAAAATGTATCTATTTTTCCTATCCAGCCAACTATGGTATCTTTCCCCACCTTCTTCCCACCCTCTGGTCCTCTCTCTTTCAGTGATGTTCAACAATCCTCTACAGTTGGGAAGAATTAAACACCTCTAGAGTCTTCCCTCACCCACATCTAATTTTTTACTTAAACAACAGTTACATAGATTATATGGCTACCTTTTGCCAGTAAAGAGCAGATTTGATTAAGGTGGTGGTTCCATGTCTGATTTTCTTGAGGTCTGTTTACCAGATGCAATGGTTATGTTTATGTTCTCTGTTCATCCTTTGAACACTGTTACTGTATTGGTGAAATTTTCCTGCCAAATCAAACTTTTCCAGTTTCTTCAGGTTCCTTCATATCAAGTTCCCGGGCATGTGTTCCCTGAGCTTCACCTGCTAGATGAACTGAATTTGACTTCACCTGATGTCTATGGACTGAGTTTTGTTCATCCCAAATGCATACCTTAAAGCTCTAACCCCTAAGATGACTGCATTAGGAGATAGAGTTTTTAGAACATGATTATGATCAAGTGAAGGGCCAGCAGGTGGTGTAACAGTTACATCAATGAACTCCCACATGGCTGACCATGGTTTGAGTCCCGTACCTGGTGACTTGAATATCACACCAGGTGGGTATGCATGTGTGCCCAAAATCCTGGGAGGAGAATGGAGGAGGAGGAATTTCAGCATGGCCATCACCCCCCAGGGAGCGATTTCTCACTTTCCCTCTCACTGTCTCTCTCTCAAAGTGCATGTATTGCAAGGCAAAATCCTCTTAAGAAAAAGATCAAATGAGGCCAGGAAGATTAGACCCTGATCTGAGAAGACTTAACTATTACAAAAGCTCTCTGTCTTCTTGTCTGTGAACAGTGTGAAGGCCATGTGAAGGCAATGAGAAGAGTGATATCTGCAAGCCAGGAGAGAGCCCTCACCAGAAACCTAACCATGCTAGATACTTGACCTTGGACTTTTTAGCCTTCAGAGCTGAGAACACAGAATACTGCCGTGTAAGCCATTTGGAAATGAGTGATCTGAGGAAGATCACTCCTTATGGAGTATTTTGCTGGAGTGAGGAGAAAGATACAAATTTCAAAAAGGCGCTGGTTAAAAGGTCATAGTTTTGGCATAAAAGTAGCATTGTAGTTGGCAGTTTTTTTTGTAGTAAATTCTATTTCCTCCCAGCAGAGCTAGCAGTCGCATCTGGATTCATCTGGATTATCGTAGAGGCAATGGTGTGGTAGAGCCAGTTCTGCAACAAAGTTTTGACTACCATGGTGGGTGCTCAACTATGAATTGAATTATCTTGCCTACGCCAATACTTATGTTACCTGCTATCCTTTCAACACCTTTTTGCTTTATCAGTCATCGTCCATGCTATTCTCTATGACCTTTAGAGTTTTACTAGAAGAATATAAGATAGGAAATCTATTATACTGAAAAAGAAAGGCTTATGCTCTTTACTTATGTCAAGCTATAGACACAGTATGTTCAACAGAGATGTATCTTGTGTAATTATTAAGCAATGAAAAGACATACCAGTGTAATATATATATATATATATGTATATTTTACTACTAATTATGAGATATTTATAAATTTAACTTCAGTACTTTAAATGGATTCTGTCATCTAATGATCAGCACAGTTTTGAACTAAATAGCATTGACATTATGAAACCCCCCTTTTAAATTTTTTTTTGGAGAGGTTTTTGTTATAGGGTGCATGTGCTTGTCAGAAAGACAGAGAAAGATGAACAGATAGCAAAAAATCACTCCCCAGGGGGATGGCCACACTGCAACCCTTCTCCTCCATTCTCCTTCTCAGGGTCTTGGGCACACATGCACACCCACCTGGTGTGTGTTTAAGTCACGGCGTCCGGGACTCGAACCGCGATTGACTACATGGCAGTCCAGCAACATAGCCATTATGCCAACTGCTGGTCCCATGAAACCCATTTTTAAAATAACGAATGAGCGGCAATGAAAGGTTAGAGAGAATAAGTAACAAATTTGAAAAATTGCAGGATTCTAGTTGGAAGGGAAATAGAATTTAGACCTCATGCACATATGCTCAATACAATATGTTGTGTATTTATAGATAGATTTCTCTTTAGTTTTCTGTTTTTACTTTTAAGGCTTATACTTATATTCCTAACACTGCTTTCTCTCCTTTGTTTCTACCTTACTAAACTGTTCACATTCTCTAAAAATTGGCTTAGGTCAAAATATTCTAAACATTTCTTGCTTTAAATTTTAACTCTGCTATGGTTAACCCAACCTGATCATCTTTTACTAATAAATAGATTTATATGTAGTGCAACTCTATCCTTTGCAAGTGTTTTTGATAGCCCCAATGTAATAATACATTTTGGAGAGATTAGTTTCCATGTTTTAATTCTTCAAATGAGGTGGGTTACTATTCACAAAAATGTTGCTTCAATGAGACTTTTTCCTTAAGAATTATTTATTTAATTTTATTTCTTCCTTCATTTATTTTTTAATTTGACCAGAGAGAGGGGAAGAGAGAAAGAAAGAGAGAAAGAGAAAGAGAGAAGAAGTGAAATAACAAGCCAGGTCTGGGATTGGAACTGTGGTCAGTCATGTGAGAGTGTCCAGTACCTTAACCACCATGCCACCTGCTGGTCCCCGCCTCAATGACACTTTTACATGTTGGCACATTCCTGATTTCTAGTTTCCAGTCTGTCAGCTTGGATCATAAATTATTTTGCTAGTGTATGAAAGTCTAGTGCTCAAATCTTGAATAAAATCATAAGTAAAGATAGATACATAATTTGATAATTACATCAAATAATTGATAGTTTTTGTGTCATATAATATGATACTGAGACTATTTCCATGTAAAAGTGAAGGTAAAGCGAAGATAGACAAGATATTTGCTTGATTTCTTTTTTTTCTCACCCTCCACACAAATCTATCACCAAGTCTTTTTTATTTTTTCTGCTAAATACATTTGTGTCAATGTGGTCCTAGCAGATACCATGAAGCAGTAAAGAGAAAAGTTACAAGTTTGGCAAAAATGTTTGTGAACTACATACCAACAAAGGACTTGTATTAAAATATAAAGAAATCTTAGTAATGGTAACATCAGAAGCTAGTGAGGATGAAGAGAAACTGCATCCCTCCTGTGAGGATAGTTAGAATATAAAATGGCACAGCCATTCTGGAAAATACTTTCTACTTTTGTGTAAAACCATGCATGTGCTTACCATCAATATAGGACTTTTACTCTTGTGCATGTATCCCAGAGAAATGACAACTTACGTTCACACAATAACCTGGACGTGAATGTTCATAGCACCTTTTTTTTTTTTTTTCTTTTAAGGGTTTTGCTGTAGGGCGTGTATGCTCGCCAGACAGACAGAGAGAGACAGAGAGACAGAAAGTGAGAAATCACCCCCCAGGGGGGATGGCCACGCTACAGTTCCTTCTTCTTCATTCTCCTCCTGGGATCTTGGACACATACGTACATGCGCCGGGTGTGAGTTTTAAGTCACTGGGTCACAAACCGTGGTTGACTATGTGGGAGTCCAGCGACATAGCCATTACGCTAACTGCTGGTCCCTGGTTTCCAGTTTTTGACTACTATGAAAAAAAGGTGCTATGGGGACCAGCAGTTAGCGTAATGGCTACCGGTTTTTGACTACTATGAAAAAAGGTGCCACAAATAGTGGTTGCTAGAACTGTGGAAAATCACCATTTGAAAGCAACTACTATAATCATATGAGATTTCTGATAAAGTGAGGGTGACAACTTAGTCTTTTAGATCTCCAAAAGTGAACAAATGTTAAAATACTTATACTTTTAAAATAGACTTAGTTTTCGTTATTTGGTACCTTAGCATGGCACTTAGAGCTGAGGTGAATTCTGAGATTTTACAGTATTATTTTGCATGGACATTCACTTCCCTAGGGTTCTGGGATGCTTAGAAACTATTGAAGAGTATTAAGTCTTTAAATTAACTCCTCAGATATAGCCAGTGATATGAACTTTATATACCATCTATTTTTAAAGGAATATCTAATTTTATTCCACTTTCTTTACATCCAAAATAGAGAACGCTTCAGTGGGAAGTGTCAAACTGTAGCAAAAAGCCTGCCCAAGTAGTTGCAAAGAAAGGATTTTTAGCAAGTGTTGAAAGTTATTTTTGACATTTCTATAAATAATCTCAACTCACATTTCTGTGCACTTCCTTCACTTAATAAGAATAATAAAAAAAAAAGACACTATCAGCAGAGTCTGCTGTTTTTATACATCATTTAAATTCCAGACAACTTCTTTTTTACTTTAGGAAAAAACTGGGTAGAAATATTGCTACTAAATTTCAATATATTACTACTAAATTTCAGTATTCGTTGAAGTAGCTTAAAGTATAATTCTTTCTCTTTGAAAAAGCTATCTATCACTTATGCATCTATTTGAAAATAGGTTGGATTCATTTCATACAATCGCCAAGTTTCAGTTTTCAAGGGCATGGATCTCTTTTAAGACCCAGAACATATTAGCTGGGCATGAACAAGATTGAAAACATTAGGAGTCATTAGGTAACATGACAGAATTGACTGGATGTCCCATGAGTCTATCAGAGTGCTTAATAACACACAAGGATCAGAAGAAAAAGGAACATGTAATCACAGGTGCTTCTGACATCCATAGTAATTTTCTGATTTAGAAGAGATTATTTTCATCATGTACACAGGAAAGTTCTGTGTATGTTGGAGTAAATAATCTTTCCATCAATTTTTAAATAAAAAAGGAAAAAAATAAATGTGTGTACTATTTATCCAATCATCAGTTACCTTCACCTCATTCTTCTGTAGTTAATAACTATTAATTAAGCACTCACAAGACCAGCAGATGGCGTAATGACAATGTCACTGGACTCCCATGCAGTGGACAGCTCCAAGTCCCACACCCTGTGGCTTAAACTCACACCAGGCGCATATGTGTGCATGCCCAAGATCCCGAGAGGAGAATGGAGAAGAAGGGATTGCAACGTGGCCATCCCCACTGGGTTTTGATTTCTCACTCTCTGTCTCCCTCTGTCTTTCCAGCGAGCGCATGTGCCCTATAGCAAAAAC